CGTTGTCACTGTCACGGCCAGACCTCATTATCATTGTTATTATCATTGTCATCGTCATTGTTATTGTCATTGTCATTGTCACGGCCAGACCTCATTGTCATTGTCATTGTTATTGTCATTGTCATTGTTATTGTCATTGTCACTGTCACGGCCAGACCTCATTGTCATTTGTCACGGCCAGACGTCATCGTTGTGCTAACGAGCATCGCGCGTACCTTACAGGTGAGTAACGTGGATGAGGTGCTGCAGAACCACACTGAGCTGCTCAACTGTTCGCTGAAGGATTGCATGCTCACCGACCCGGCCCTGCTCGACATCGTTCACAAGGTGCTTGTGCTCTGCCTCAAGTTCACCAACTTCCTTGAGGTACGATGTAACGCGATCGTGATCAGGTTGATCAGATCGTGATCGTGATCACTGTGTAATCATATCAAAATCTATCGAATCTATCTATCGAAATCGGACCGAATCGAAATCAGCCAGGGACAGGAATTCTTATTATTTGATATATTCAAGAGGGCCCTGATTGGATGACAGGGGCTAGGGCCCTGATTGAAGTCGGGTCTGAGGGGCTATGTAATGAGCTGACGGCATGCTGATTTTGTTAAACAATAGCCACCTCCTTCGTAGCCGTAGCCTTACGAAACTTTGTTCGTACGAACTATGCAAAGCATGACCACTAAGTTCGGCATGTCAAACGTTAATTATGCCTTATCGTAAAAAGATCAATAAACAATCAATGGTTGTGTTTGAAAAGATTTGTTTTCGTTCAGCTGTGGACATACTAGGCGATTTTTCAGGCGATTGAGTCGGGCAACTGAGTCGAGCGACTCAATCGCCTGAAAAATCGCCTAGTGTGTCCAGTGAGTCGCCGGCGACTTTCGAGGCCATTATTTGAGTCGCGCGACTATATACAATGCGCGCCTGAACAATGCGATACTATACAATGCGAGTATACAATGCTCTACTACGCACGCCCGAATGTACGATTCATCAGCCAATCAAACAGTGGCATTTTCAATCATGTGACTATCAATCTAGGTGGCGCGAGATGAATCGCCTATGAATCACGCTGAAAATCACCTAGTGTGTCCACTGAGTCGCCCGACTCAATCGCCTGAAAAATCGCGTAGTGTGTCCACAGCTTTCATAGTGCGTTTAGAATACTTTTATTCGCCGAGTAAAATACGTACGAACGGATGCGTATGCATATTCCAATTATGCAATGAGAGTGATTAGGGAAACAGGATTCACTTTACGTAATGTTTGGCTTTGTGTGCATTTTGTCATAAATGCAATACTCTCATGACACCTGCAATTGCTGTATCTTGTCATTTCGCCCCTCCATAACTTCTATTTATTTAGTTTCATTTGTTTTAATTTCATCTGCATTGTCCATTAATATGCTTAACTAATATGTTACCTCCAAAATGTAATTCATACGCGTAAATAAAGTCATTTAAATTGTATTGAATGGAATTTTATCTAAGAACAATTCTGAATTACTCGATTACTTGATTTATTTTTGAGATCGCGACCACCCCCACGGTGCGTGCGTGCGTGCGTGCGTGCGTGCGTGCGTGCGTGCGTGCGTGCGTGCGTGCGTAGTAATATCTCGCTCGTGTGTACAGGTGATGGTGGGAGCGAAGGTGGCTGAGGACAAGATGCTGTCGAAATTCGATTCGAAGTTCTCGAAACTGCTGCACAGCCTGCTGGAGAAGATCACGGAATCTGGGAAGCTGACGCATGAGCACAAACTCATGAACATCGTATACAGGTAAGCACAATCACAGGTAAACTCATCCACGGGTAAGCACGTATACCAGTAAGCACAAACACAAGTAAGCACACCTATGGGTAAGCACATCTATGGGTAAGCACACTTATGGGTAAGCACATCTATAGGTAAGCACATCTATTGGTGAGCACATCTATGGGTAAGCACATCTATTGGTGAGCACATCTATGGGTAAGCACATCTATGGATAAGCACATCTATGGGTAAGCACATCTATAGGTAAGCACATCTATGGGTAAGCACATCTATGGGTAAGCACATCTATGGGTAAGCACATCTATGGGTAAGCACATCTATGGGTAAGCACATCTATAGGTAAGCACGTCTATGGGTAAGCACATCTATGGGTAAGCACATCTGTGGGTAAGCACATCTATGGGTAAGCACATCTATGGGTAAGCACATCTATGGATAAGCACATCTATGGGTAAGCACATCTATGGGTAAGCACATCTATGGGTAAGCACATCTATTGGTAAGCATGTCTATGGGTAAGCATGTCTATGGGTAAGCATGTCTAATGGTAAGCACATCTGTGGGTAAGCATTTCTATTGGTAAGCACTCGTCTATGGGTAAGCACATTTCTTGGTAAGCACGTCTATGGGTAAGTATGTTTTCTTGTAAGCACGTCTACATGGTAAGAACATATACTGGTGAGTACATCTATGGATAAGGACATCGTGCAAGCATACCTATATGCCTGTAGATATGCACATCTATATGTGAGCACAGTGACATTAGATGCAGTGTTGTTGCTGGGGAGATGGTGTTAGAATGGTTACTTCGTCAGGGGTGTATGTTTCGGATGTTCGGCGGCAGAGATGTGATGCCCATGCTTCTAACGATGTTTATGTACTTGAGTGTAACTACAGTGAATGACTGTGATAAGTGCAATGAATAAGAAGTTTAGTCGCAACTGTATTTCTTCGCTTTTGGGGCTGGTAAACTCACATAGGCAAATTCAGAGGACAACCTATCCACCTATAGATTGATGCTTATCTATCGTTCTATCTTTCTATTAGATGGTGGGTTGGTGATGTCTGGTTTCTAGGACAACTAGTCTGTGGTTGTCAGACAATTGAAGTTCTAGAGAAGTTGTTCTTGATGAAGTGAATTCATTTGAATGCACAGATCATGATTATAGACTCGTGTATTCATTGATCCTGGCAGATATTTAATATTATTTATGTCTTGTTGGTGATTTTCTCTCGGGCTTCACTGGGTAGCATTACGTTATGTAAGTGCATTTGAAGGGATACCCATGTAATAACTGAAGTCCAAGTTGTTTTTTTCTGAATTTTTTTTTTTCCTCCCTTAATTCCCACATATACTCACACAGCAGTGCATTCAACAACATGTGGTTGGTTACGCGTGGTCTTGACATTTCGCTCCTTATACACAGATTGGATTTCAATGGATTTTACACGGAAAAACTGGAGCAACTTGCAGTAGAGAAATCCATGATATCCGACCAGTCAGTGGCAGATGCCGTACAGTGATCGGTTTGATGTATACCCATCTCATATCACCTCATTCAACTACAGCACATTTCAACTACATCCGGAGTGTATAATATAGATAATTGAATTTCTTGTGCTTCGAGTTATACTTCTCTCTGTATTACACACTCCCGCTACATTGTTACATTCTACGTTATTGTACGTTGTCTATCTTCGTACGATGCATGCAGCTGGGCTAACTCACGGGCGATGTGACTATGAAGTGTTGCAGACAGGGCGAAACAAGCCTAATTAGTCTTAGTCTTAATCACTAAGATGTGTAGGATGGTAATAGTCAAGTCTTGGTGATGTAGTATTGCATCGCGTGATAAAGTAGCAGGTATTAGGTTTTTTAGCGACGTAATGTGTTTCGTAGCTACTATATTGACCATTTTGTTTAGTTACCCCCACAGTCACCGCAGCAAGTTAACGAGTAGGAAAGCATGTAATTATCGTTATGGTATGCTAGACGAACCTTCCTCGTTATTGCGGAAGTGGGATTTCAGAACGTGAATTGAATGTAGTGTTATTTACTATAAGAACATTTGCGTTGTATCAAGAGCGCAATACTGTTCAAATGCTTCATGTGCTCCTAGTTGTATCATTAACATATATATATATATA